TCCTTACTCCAGGGCAAAGGGCTTTCCTGCCCACCCAGCAGAATTTCAGAATTGCTAGGAACTGGTGACTGCTGTGTGTGTTTCACTCTTTCATTTTCCAAATGTGAATTTTTATTGCAACTATCCTTCCCCTGTTTCACCATTCAGAGATTATTTTTTAGAATATAAATTGCTGGTCCATAAAACCCTCTCTCAGACCTAAGGGAAAATACTGCATCTGGCCCAGGGATCTTCAACTTTGAGCTGATTAGAATGATTGGATGCATTGCTAGGTTGTATTCTCTGGGGAGAGAGTTAATGTTTGAAATAAAGAGTGAAATATCCACTTGGTGACAAAGGGTAGATAATTGCAGAGACTACTATATGTTCACGAAAACAAATCCTCTTTTCTTCCTAGGCATAGAGACTATTTCTCAGATGTCTTTGTCAAGGCGAGAGAATGTGGGCAGATTTCACTCCTGATCCTTAACAAATTTTCATGTAATCTTCTACTTCCTCTCTCATATATTGCCTGTCTCTCATTAAGTATCTCCCATTTTCCGGTTGAATGGAAGGGACTCTGAGGACTTAGAGAAGATAGAGACACCAAATGGAAAAAACCTGGGTTCCTAAACGATGGAATGCAACAATCTTGAAAAGCCAGTCAGCTGCTGATTAGACGTAAAAGGGAAAGAAAGAAACTGCTCTTATGTAAAACCACTATGATTTCTGTGTTTTTCTGTTGTAGCAGAAGTTACATTGACTAGACATACATCCAAAAGTTCATGTTTGGTGGACTAGGTGAGGAGGAGTTCACAGGCCAGAGTGAAGTACCGCACAATAAATCACTAATAATGAATTCTGTGGCCTGGACTATGGTCACACCTGGGCTCCGTCAGGTGGCTACATTTAGGTGGTGGGTTGATTGGTGGATAGGTTTAGCTATGATGGTTGAGTTGATGGTATGTCTCCATCTATGTTGTCTTTCATCCTCAAGGCACCTATATTGGGGCTTTCGGAACCTGGTGGTACCAGAGTTCCAAGAGAGTGAGAGGAAGTTGCAGGGACTCTAGAGACCTTGCTTGAAAATAGTGCAACATTATTTCTGATGCACTGTATTGGCCAAAGGAAATCAGGTAGTCTGGCCAGATTTGGGAAGCAGGGAAACAGACTCTGCCTTTTTGATGAAGAATTTGAAGAATTTGTGACTATTTTTTATCATCTACAAATCCTTATAAAAGTACTCAGAATATAGTAAGTGCTCAATAAATGGTTGTCGAATTGCATGCATGAATGGAGAAAGTAGGTTGGAGTCCTGAAAAAGAAGATAACATATTGGCAATGCTGCTATTGAAAGTGGAAAAAGGAACCAATCATGGATAAGTAAAAGAATTGCTGAGCAACACGGATGGTCCAGCTGAGCTTGAAAATTGTAAATTTGTTTTTCCGCCAATTTTCTCCAATTGCATTTGGTAGTTTGGGAGCAAGCCCACAGAAACAGATGGTTGGGTTGATCCAGGTTAGGGATTAGTACTCTGCAAACTAGCAGTAGTGGGAGGTTGAGTCTGCCCAACTTGGTTCTGTGCCTTCTCAGCTCTCTGCTCACTCAGGATCTGGCCACTCCATGGAATACTCTGCATCCTAAATGTCCTCACTCATTCTGGTCCACTGTCTGATACCAAAACTCCATGTTGGATTACAAAGTAAGTTAATTGAGATTGTGAGGTAGGTGGTTCAGGCCTGAAGTGAAGTACAGATAAACACACACACATACGCACACAGACACACACACGTGCACACACACACACACACACTCTTAGGAATTCCATTTGCATTTCTTGGAAGACATATGGGGATCTGATTTTTGCATTTTTTTCTTTCCTTTTCAATTCTCCAGGCTACTGCTGGAGCCTTGTACTTCCCACCCCACCATTCCCTGCTGTCAATCCAGCCCTCAAGAAGAGCAGTCCTATTCATAATGCTCCTACTAATTTTCTCCAGTTCTTTCTCCTGGCTCATTAGACCCTTCCTTTCATTCTGTATCACAAAGGTCTTAGGATTGACTGGCAGAGTCAGGTTTGTCTCCAAAGGTGGGGAAGAGGGTGAAAAGGGCAAACGTGAGAGTAAGCTGAAAAATTGACAATTACCAGGTCTTTTTGGCAACTAAGGGAGTGCTGAAAACCATGACTACTTCTACCTTATTTTTCTAGATTTTTACCACTCAGACTAATTTTATCTTCTTTCACTGTACTTGATATTTTGAACCCATATTTACTTTCTTGGTCTTCCTTGCCCAAGATGAATGACCAATTTCACTTTGTTCCATGGCTCATAGACAATTTCTGTTTTGCCTAGGATTCTTAGCCTCAGGGAAAGCCCTGTCTCTACACAATCATTTCCTCCTTTCCTAATCAGCATTCCTATGCAGGGGAAGACCGACAGAAGGAGGCAAATAAACCAAAGAATCAAGATTTAGTGCTTGGATATAAGACGGTGAAACAGAGGAGGTCAAGGAATTGGGTGCTTAGATGATTTTTCAGTGTTGGTGGTGGAGTTGCCTAAGATGATGGGGGAGAATACAGAAGAGAATAACTATGATGTGGTTTGGCTGTGTGCCCACCCAAATCTCATCTTAAATTATAGCTACCATAATCCCCATATGTCATGGGAGCAACCCAGTGGGACGTAACTGAATCACGAAGGCGGGTTTTTCCTGTATTGTTCTTGTGATAGTGAACAAGTCTCTTGAGATCTGATGGTTTTATAAAGGGAACATGTTCTCTTGCCTGCCACCATGGAAGGTGTGCCTTTGTTCCTCTTTCACCTTTTGCCATGATTGTGAGGCCTCCCTAGCCACATGGAACTGTGAGTCCATTATGCCTCTTTTTTCTTAAGACTTTTTTCAATGTCTTGGGTATGTCTTTATTGGCAATGTGAAAATGGACTAATACAACTATAAACCAATTAACAATGTCCTGAGAGAATATATGGGGCTGCACTGAATGTTGGTAGATGGTGGATAGAGTGGACAGGAGCAATGCCGATGAATGGAGAGTTTCAAGGAAGTGACAAGATAGTGGATCAGAGGCATGGAAACAGCTGTGGGGAGGCAGGAGGAGCATGCTGTGCCTCCTTGATGTGACAGGCTGAGTGGATACTAGGGAGCAGCACTTTCCATAAAAGAATTGGAGGGAAGTTACAGCACCTGCAAAAAGTTAAGTGGAGTCAGTAATCTCAGTTTGTACTTTCAGGCTGTAGATTTCAGGATAACAGGAAAAAGATATCCTCAGTTGTAAGAAAGTTACCTTGTTAGCTGTTTTGAGACTCCAAAGTGAATCTTTTAGTATAATTCCTTAATTCATTCTTGTATCAAATAGTTATTGGCCAGGAACAAAACAGAGTGCTTAAATATAAGGATGAATAAAATAAGATCTGCCATTAAGCAGCTCACAGTCTTTTTAAGGCAGAAGGAAAACAGACAGGTAACTTAAAACAAATTGTAAGTTGTATGATAGCAGTGAGCACGGTTCTATGGAACACCGAGTAGAGTCGTCCTACCAGAATAGGGGGTAGGAGGTAGACTCAGAAAAAGAAGCCTGAGCTGTGTCTTTAAATATGAGTTAATGAGGTAAAAGTGTGTGTGTGTGTGTGTGTGTGTGTGTGTGTGTGTGTTAGGGAGAGGGAGGGGATTGAGGTCCAGGAGCAAAAGGGATTATAATTACTATATTTCAATTTCACTCCATTCTGGGTAGTCACAGTCTAAATAGTTGAATCAGGTTTAATTGAATCTCCAATGTGAAGAGACTTTCCATTATTTCCTTTCATAAGAGAAGTGGAGCCAAGCCGAAGCTCACACTTTGGCAACTGATCCTGTGTAAACTGTATTGCTCCCTGAACTAACCCTCTCTTGAGGCTGGGAAGACACTTATGCTGTTGACTCGATTTGATCAAAGGACAGCTTGAAGGAAACCAGTATCAACAAACCTCTCTTTGGGCTGTCGGAAATAGTGTTTCCATTTTATTTATTTGAAAGAATCTTGTGTCTTAAATCTTGGGACAGGCCATTTGAGAGTTGTCTGATGATTGTGTAAGTTGTTTTAAAAAATCTCACAAGAAATGATTGGTTTACCTTTCTATTTTAGTGCTAACCAGATATGGATGGCAAATAATAGCACCACTGTATAGTAGACATTTTGGTGGGAAAATGCTGTTCACAAGAGGAACCTTGGCTGGTCATGATATTCTGGTCAACTTGGATTGTTAAGAAGATAACTTATGTGACTAGCACATTCCTGAAACTGCAAGACTCTTCTTCCCACATTCAAACTTCCAGAATGAATTTTGTTGCTTGCAGTGGGTAGCACTGCTTGTGCTCAGTTACTTATGGCCCCCAAAAATAGAGAAGAGGAGATAACAAATGCTTTATCTGATGTTCACTATAATTTGAGCATTTGCAAAGTAGTTCTAGGTCTTGGATATAGCAGTTGATGGGACACTAGAGTTGAATTCGTGACATCATAACTACTTAGAAAGAATGAAAGAGGGAAAATGGATAAGAATTTTATAAGGAACCAGTTTCTCAGTTGTCAGTATTTTCCTTTATAAAGATAAAAAAATGAACATTCAACTTTGAAAAGCAAGTGTTTTATCTTTCATGGGCTTGGTTAGGTGAGTAGAGAGAATTCCAGTTGAAATGGACAGACAGAGAGCCAAGGAATTTTAATAAAAATATGGCATCTTTTCATGTGAAGCAGATCTGAGTCAAGGTAGTTCTGCCCTCAAGAATCTGTTACAGTAATCATTTCCTTTGGTACTTAAAAAAAGGACTATTGACGTTTGCTCACTCTAGGTACCTATAAAAGAGTTCCAGCTACATAGAAGGGCTGTGATACTTTCAGTTAAGCAAGGAAGAAGTTGTAAATGTGGGCAATATAATGTTATAGGTTTCACTAAAATTTCTGTTATTTATTCCATCAGCTGGTTGCTTTTTAGTGAGCACCTATTATGTGCTTTCTTGTTAGGAGCAGAGGATACAGTAATGAAGAATAAAGTATCTACTTTCTTGAAAATCTGAGTCTATCAGGGAGAGAGATAGCACTCCAATAGTGGATTAATTGTGATTATGAACATCTACTATAATGGGTAAGTACAGGATAGAGGAGCCTGTGCAATAGGGTAAAGGAAAAGTAGGGGATGATGGGATGAGCTGAGAAGTAAGCACCTAAGTAAAGATATTTGTACATGCAAAGGGCCTGGGGTAGAAAGGGATTTCGTCCTTTGGTAGAATTGAATGAAGGCTTGTGTGGCTGGAGAAAGGGAGAGAAGAAGCATGGGAGAGATTGGCAAAATGTCAGTTTGGAGAGATATGGAGGGACAAAATCATGCTGGGCATCACAGTCTTGCAGAAAGGAAGGGGGAGTAGTTGAAAGGCTTTAAGCAGGCGAGCAACATGATAAACAGTACAGCTTAATGGGATTTTAATAAAGCATTATATTGTTGATTATAGAAGTAAGTTTCCTTCGGGGTTTTTTTCTTTAATTGAAGACATAGTTTTTCAATTTAATTTTTATTCTAATTTCTTTTGCAGATAGTAGAGAAGATAATTTGTATGTAATTGAAGGACCACGTTCTTCTTAGCTTGAAGTCATTGTGATAGGTAAGAATTTATAAATAGCAAATCTGCTGGATTTAGTTATCTGTCATATTGGAATTTAGAAGTGGCAGATCTCTTATCAGTGACCAAATACCAAATAACAGAAATGTAACCTGATAATTTTTAAATTAAAAATACCCTGATATGTAACCGTGATGTAACTGAGGTGAATATCAAAATGTGTTTGCCATGTAGAAAAATAAAAACATAACAGATTTTTCAGTTCTAAAAGAGAAGTGAAATTTCTAAAGGCTAATAATGTTACCTGAACACCTGGTTCAGACAACTAGCAATGGGGAGTCAGTGCAAATGAACAGGGAGGTCTCATAGAAAGGGGCTTCATACTAGATTAAACAAAGGCAGTCCAAACTCTAATATATATAAAGGATTTGTTGTCGCAATGGTAGTAACTCCTAAGTCCAAATTTTCTAGGACAGTCTTGTTATAAAATACTCTCTTACATTTTAGATACATTGATGCTTTCTAGGCAATCACGTCTCCCTCTTGTTTTAAGAAATAGGTCTAGTGGCATCAGGATTCTAATTTCTTCTTTGCTGTCACTACCTAGAATCTCCTCCTCCCCTCCTCCTTATCTTCCTCTTCCTCCTCTCTTCCTCCTCCTTCTCCTCCTTATCTTCCTCCTCCTCCTTCTTCTCTCCTTCCTTCTATCTCATCTTGATAACCTGAACTCCAATCCCCAGGATGCCAATCCATTAGTTAAACGTCCAGTACAACTTGCTTTTGTTTTGTCACTGAAGATAACTCTTTCCTTTAGTCTTTTAGCCTTTCCAAGTCTGGCTATACAAATTCATGAATGGCTATGATTGTGTCAGAGGGATTAAAAACACCAAAAAAGATGAAGACTATAGGTTGAAGGAATTTTATTCCTGGTTTTCTTAATATTACTACTAGTTAAATATCTTAGAGAATGTCAGTCGTACCATGAATTTAATTTGGGGTTGCAAAAGAAAGTGGAAAATGATTCACCTGAGTTTCCTTTTGTGATGTTCCAGGGAGCAGATTCTATGCATGAGGAGTAATAAGTGGGACAAGTCCTAAAGCACTGAGAAGGAAGTGATGATGGTAGTGATCAAGTAGTCACCATTTTGGAAAGTGGATTATGTACCATCCTTATGCTTAATGCTTTACAGACATTATCTCGTCTGATCTTCTCAACAACCAATCAATGCTGTTTTTATAGGTATTCTGATATTACTGATGAAAAAAATGAGGTTTAGAGAGGTTAAAGAAACTTTTTAAAAGTCATTTCACTTGTAAATGAAAGAAGTGGGATCCTATGTCTGTCTAACCTGACTCCAGAGTCTATACTGTGGACCACTAACTATCAAGGGGTTAACAGTGGAACTGATCTGTGGCCAAGAGATGTCTCTAGAGCTTGAATGTCCTTATTCCTTGGAGCAGCTTATTCATACTGCCCTAGCCTATTGTATCACTGTCTGTCCTTTTTCACTGAAGCTGAGCTTGCTGTGGTCTGGAAAAGCACAATGGTTTCTTTGGTGCAGCCTGTGGTTTTAGAGCTTGCAGTGAGAAAAGCATGCAGATAAAACATAGAGCATCCTACTGAGACACAAGTCCAAGCAATGCTGCCGTAGAGAGCCAGAAAAGCAAAATGGTTCCTAACCCTGGCAGGAAATAGCATGGACAAGTAAAGAAACAGGTTTGGCAGACCCTAAGAGGGGAAAGCTGTATGCCAGCGCGGAATTCCCCCAGTGACTATCATCAATCCCCGTTTTAGTAGTATGTGTAAAGACTCATGAGCATCAGATGTATTCAACATGAACAGCACAGCCTTAAATGTTTCTTTCCACAAGGACCAGAAACTTTACTATGGTTTTTGCGTCAGGACCTATTGTTAAATGAACTGATGTCTTTGAAGCACCTTTCAGTGCTTGAACAGTCAGAATTGTAATAACCAGGACGATAATCCCAGCATTTTGGAAGGCTGAGGCAGGGGGATCACTTGAGCCCAGGAATTCAATACCAACTGGGTAACATGCCAAGTCTCCACCTCTACAAAAAATAAGAAAATTAGTCAGGTATGGTGGCTTGCACCTATAGTCCTAGCTATTTGGGAGGCTGAGACAGGAGGATCATTTGAGCCCGGGAGGTTGAGGCTGCTGTGAGCTATGATTACACCATTGTATGCCAGCCTGGGCATCAGAGTGAGACCCTGTATCAAAAAAAAGAGAGTTCTTTTCACTGATCGCTGATGATAAAACATCATTTCTTCTAAAGATCAAAAGCTCCTGGTTTCACATTAAAACTATGTCTGTATGTGCATGCAGTAGAATAAGAGACAACTAAAATGTTAATTCCTTCTCCTTTCAGTATCACATGGAGCCTACCTGGCATGTCATAAGCAGCAATTCTGAGGTTTCGAAAGAGCTTCTTGCTGAACTTCTTGTTCAGTTTGCCTCCACGCTTTCCCCTACCACCAGAAAATTTAAACAAAACAACCTGCTTTTGCCTGAATGACCTAGGTAACAACCTACTTTAGCTTGAGCTGCTTAGATATTTCAGCTAAAAATGGCTTATTTCCATGAGTCACCTGGATAATTGCATTACTCTGCTGGCCCACTTAGCTGGGTGGGCCAGCAGGTGTTAAGTGCAAGTGTCAACGAGTACTTCATTGTTTTCCACTCTATGGATAGTACTGTGACAGTTTCTTAGTGCCTGGAGAAGTACCTCTTGATTCAATTTCAGCCCTTGAGCTTCCTTCTTTTAGATGGATCATCCTTGCTATGTGACAAAATAGCCCCCTTCTATCTCTGTAGGGCAACTTTGTATCATGCATGTGTGTGTGTGTGTGTGTGTGTAGCTTTGTGGTTTTGAAGACAAATTACTTCAACAAGTACTTCTTAAATACTTCCTGGCAGAGCGCTGTCTGTGGGAGATACAAAAGGAGATAAAGACAAGATACTTTCCTCAAGATACAACTGTTTAAGGACACTGGCACATATGAACCATTAGAAGGTCTTTACATGTTTACTGTTGACCTGTTTGGAAGTGTAATCAGAGTTGAAGAGGCCAAAATATTTGGAGAAATCTGTGGGAGGGCTTACCCTCCATTTCTTGAGGTATAGATGTATTGTCATTTTTTTTTTTTTTTTTTTTGAGTGGAGTTTCACTCTTGTTGCCCAGGCTGGAGTGCAGTGGTACAATCTTAGTTCACTGTAACCTCCACCTCCCAGGTTCAAGCGATTCTCCTGCCTCAGCCTCCTGAGTAGCTGGGATTACAGGCATGTGTCACCACGCCCAGCTAATTTTCGTATTTTTAATAGAGATGGGGTTTCTCCATGTTGGTCAGGCTGGTCTCGAACTCCCGACCTAAGGTGATCCACTTGTCTTGGCCTCCCAAAGTGCTGGGATTACAGGCATGAGCCACCATGCCCGGCCGCATTGTCTTTTTTTTTTTTTTCTCCCTGCAAATGTATTATATGGTTTACTCTGACAACATATAACCTAATTTTCTAGAATGGCATCGCTGAAGAAAGATAGTTGTATGCCTCATTTAGAGGGTAACTCAGGGTTCGTGGTTCTCCAAAGGAAAGACGGCAGACAGTTTTGGCTACAAAAACACTTGAGGTATTTAGAAAAAAATCCACACTGTATACTTTACTTTTATGACCGAGTTTTTTAGATGCTTTTGAGAACACAAAATAAATAGAAAACACATACAGGAAAAGAAAAAAAAAACTTGCCTCATGTGGAACAATCAACATTGTAAAACTAAACTTTAACTAATTTTTTGAAACCTATTTATATGTAAAAAAAGATTAGTGCCCTAGCTTCGGTTTTAAATTTCATAAAATTTGACGTCATGAAATAAAAAGGCAACTTTCTCTGCTTTTTAATTTCCCTTTTCCCTGATTATAAAAGAACAGATTTTAAAATTAAGTGGAAAGACCAAATTTTTATTTTTATTTCTATTTTTTGTTTTTAAGTAGATATTTGAACCTTGATGTAAGAGCTCACCACTTCTATGCTTACAGTGTTTAAATTCTCTGCCATGAAACTTTTAGGCTTGAAATAAATGTCACTAACATGATTTTGAAGGTCAGGCTGGTGAACCACCAAAAATGTCTGACAGCTCCAAAATAGAGTATTTACATCTGGCTCATGGCATCGTGCTCTTTGCTATGATGTAGTCGGGTTGAATAAGTGGAGCAGTGTGAACTGAACCTCCGTAGAACTTGACATTTGACCCCAGAGGTCTATATGCATCATTTTATTCTCTATCCCCTCCTGCCTCCCTCCATGTGGGCAGAAAAGACATAAAAATCCACTGGCTTTCTGCAGGAACGCTTGGCCTGGTTTCCCTGTAATACCTGTTTATACATGAATCAACCCAAAATTAACTTCAGGGACAGCAGGATATGCCTGACCTTGTGAATTAAAGTATGAAATGCACTAGAAATATGATTAACCAGATTTCTTGGTAAATGGGTTGTTCTGTTTAGCTGGAGTTCTGGTTGTTTAAGAATGAGTTCTATTGCTATTTTTATTTTCGTACTTCTTATTTAATTGGCATTACAAAATGTTATTAGCTTTCTTATCATTGGAAACATGGTTATTAAATGCTACTTGATCTTCCTTGATGACTCTGATGTTATGACGTCCTTACATGATCATTCCAAACATCATTAATCTAAAGATCATAGTAGACATTCAGAAAAATGACAAGGTTGAGGACTAGGATTGAGGAAAATGGGATGGGGATCGGAGGGCATGGGCAGAAGGTAGTTTACTTTTAGTTAACTGGGATTATACTGCAGAGGATGTTCCTGATAACTGATTTCAAAGCTTTCAGTAATGTGTCCTGTTTACATTTAAGCCAGATTCTAATAGAAAACCCTAAAGAATTTGTCATATTTTTGTATGAGATCACCTCTTAAAACAAGCAAAATAAATTCATTCCATTTCTAAATTCATTTGATAAAAGAAGAATACATGCAAATTAGGTGAAACAAGTTTGGAAAATAATCA